ACATCGGTCTCAAAGTGCCAAACTCCAATGAAAAAATACAGTTTATCACCAAAGGAAATGGGGACGCTCAGCGGACAAATCACATGATAAATCTATCTGCTTCTGTGGTTTTACAATGGAAAAAAATTGCCCTCGTGATGCCAACTGAAGGAGGGGGGGGATTTTCAACTCTCCGAAGAAGACAATTGATCCTTATCTGAAGTTGGTGGATCCCAAAAACAAATGGGATCACAAGGGACCAAGGCTGTGCCCAAACGGCTCAAAACTAAAAATCAAAACAATGGCAAGTAGTCCTTTTGACCTACAACCACAATTCAGCCACAAATTTATGTTCCTCGGTGGGAAAGTTGTTAAATGAGCTTTGTCCCGCTCTATGACTTTTGTGGCCACGGCTGTTAAGTGAATCTGGCTTCCCCCCCCCACTTCCCTTTGCTTGTCAGAAGTTTGCAAAATGGGGGAATCCGGGATACTGCGACCATCATAAATAAGAGTCAGTTGCCAAGCGTCTGAATTTGGATCACGGAAGCTGCACCTAAGTGTGAAAATGGTCCTAAGTCACTTTGTTCAGCACCTTTGTAACTTCAAACGGTCACTAAACGAACTGTTCTAAGTCGAGGACAATCTGTAAATGGTTTTGCCCATCAGTTTATCTTCTTCTTTCGGTATATATCCGTGGTGGCGAACCTATGGCACGTGTGCATGTGTGGAAATGCGCAGCGTGGGTCGCACGGGTCCCATGTGCAGGGGCATGAGGGGCACACGCATTGCCTTCTGGATGATGGCACATGAGCGCGAGCACACAAGTGCGCACGCAATTATCGGCACGGGAGCGCAAAAAGGTTAGCCATCACTGGTATATATATATATATAAGTGAAATGCCAGTCACGCATCATCACAAGATCTCCAGAACTGTAAAGCCTACAAACTTGAAATTGGGCACCTATGTTCCTCTTGGCTTCTAGGGGTTTACTAAGAAAGGATTTTTCGAAATGACCCTCAGAGCTATTAGTATTTCCTATATTATTAACACGCTCTGATGCTAAGGAGTTCTGCTCCCGCTCCTCACCTGGAAAGAAATCTCTTCCAAATGCAAAACACAAGCAGAGGAGAGGAGAGTTTTGTTAAGAGTTTGCAAATGACACTGGAAATACCAATGAAATCAGGTGAGTCAAGAGAGCTTGGTAAGCAAATAATAACTGAGGAGCTGCAAGACACAATTAGCACTCGTGACTATGGGAAACCCAGAACGTATAGCTTATTGTGGTACGTGAACATAACCAATCATAGCTTATTGAACAAACCACAGCTAAGCAAACCGGGGCTTAGAGTGACATGTATATTATTCTAAACATTGAATGAAAACTACGAGTCCCATAATTAACAAATGGCAGCTCTTCAGTATAAAAAATATTAGTGGCAACCTTATTACACATTAGCTAATCGCTAACACAAGTCACTGCCCCATTTGTTTTGGAAGGGTTCAGTGCTAATGAAACACAATTTGGCACTTGAGAAAAGAACAAAGTACACTTCTCAGTACATGTGCACACTTGACCCGAAGAAGAAACAATCTCTTCTTCTATCTCTTCTAAGAACAGCAGAAGAACTACAGGCATTAGGAACAGGCTGGTCTTGTGGTGCAAGAGTCATAACCTCGCCCTGAACATCAAAAAAGACCAAAGAATTGATTATGGACTTCAGACGATGCAAAGCAGAGCCTCTCCCACTATATATCAATGGAGACTGTGTGGAAAGAGTTCGCAGTTTTAAATTTCTAGGAACTCATATTTCCGACAACCTTACTTGGTCGATCCACATTATGGCTACCGCAAAGAAGGCCCAACAGCGCCTGCACTTTCTGAGGCTGCTGAAAAAGGGTGGTCTGGGTGAGAAGTTGCTGGTTACTTTTTACCGTTCTACCATTGAGAGCATTTTGGAATTACTGTGTAACGGTGTGGTATGCTGGATGCTCTATAGTGGATAAGAAGATGCTCCAGAGAGTAATAAACACAGCACAAAAAAAATCATCGGTTGCTCTCTTACTTCTTTGGAAGAGATTGCGAAGACCAGACTCCTCTCTAGAGCATTAAAAACCTCCACAGACCGCTCTCATCCTGGTTGTTTATATTTTGAACTGTTACCATCAGGGAGACATTATAAGTGTCTTAAAATGAGGACTAATAGACTGAGAAACAGTTTATTTTCCAAGGCAATAATTGTCTTGAATCAAACAATACATATGTGATTTTGCCCTATGTATATAGTATATAGCCATTTTGAAACTATCTAACTTACTATATGTTTTAGGTAGGTTTTACACTAGGTTTTTAATTATTATTATTAGCTACAATTTGTAGTGTGATTGTGATGTGGTGTTTGGGCCACTGTGCTGAAGTAGCTTTTAACTTTCATTGTATTCGTGGAATGCAATTACAATAAAGGTAAATTCTAAAAAATTCTAAACAGGTCACATGGCAAATACAGCTGTTCTTTTTATACCGCTCAGCATCTACTGTCTAAAATGGTTGCTTCATTTTGTCTTGTAGAAAGTTAGCACCCACCCCTCTCCTAGAAAAATGAAATATCCTAGGAAATACACTGCTCAAAAAAATAAAGGGAACACTTAAACAACACAATGTAACTCCAAGTCAATCACACTTCTGTGAAATCAAACTGTCCATTTAGGTAGTAACACTGATTGACAATCAATTTCACATGCTGTTGTGCAAATGGAATAGACAACAGGTGGAAAGCAGAGGCAGTTAGCAAGACATCCCCAATAAAGGAGCGGTTCTGCAGGTGGTGACCACAGACCACTTCTCAGTTCCTATGCTTTCTGGCTGATGGTTTGGTCACTTTTGAATGCTGGCGGTGCTTTCGCTCTAATGGTAGCATGAGACGGAGTCTACAACCCACACAAGTGGCTCAGGTAGTACAGCTCATCCAGGATGGCACATCAATGCGAGCTGTGGCAAGAAGGTTTGCTGTGTCTGTCAGCGTAGTGTCCAGAGCATGGAGGCGCTACCAGGAGACAGGCCAGTACATCAGGAGACATGGAGGAGGCTATAGGAGGGCAACAACCCAGCATCAGGACAGCTACTTCCGCTTTTGTGCAAGGAGGGACAGGAGGAGCACCGCCAGAGCCCTGCAAAATGACCTCCAGTAGGCTAAGCATTTGTATTGTGCCATGCGAAGGTGGGGATGCTCTTGAGAGTTATAAATGGGAGGACTGGTCAATAAATAGCTTTTTTCAGTGCTGTTCTAACTTCAAACAGTCCCCCAAAGAAATGATTGTAAGTTGAAAATCTGCATTCCACCAATCGGATACACAAGGGGTCCCCAAACTTGGCAATTTTAAGACTTGTGGACTTCAACTCCCAGAATTCTATGCTGGCTGGAGAATTCTGGGAGTTGAAGTCCACAAGTCTTAAAGTTGCCTAGTTTGGAGACCTCTGGTATGCCCTCTTGTGATTCGCAAATGCAAAGGGCCACAATTTGCTATTTTTGAAGGCAGCCAACCATCTCATTTTCTAGAAATGTTTCCTTGTATGAAGCTTTTTACAAATCTGATAATGTGAGAGCCAACTGTCCCTTCACAACAGGACTGTTTATCCATAAACCTCTACGGCTAATGTAAAAAAAAAAAACCCACCACATTTTGATTGCAATTCCTCATCCCACGTACAATCTTGAGTTTTAAAATGTTTTGAAAAAGACTAGGGTCTCTTGCTTAAGCAGGGGGTTGGACTAGAAGATCTTCAAGGTCCCTTCCAATTATGTTATTCTGAGAAAGGAATGGTGGATAGAAAGGGAAGGAAGACACAGGTAAAGAGGGAGACAGGGAGGAAAGAAAAGAAGGAAAGGAAAGGACAAGAAGAAGAAGAGAGGAAGAAGGGTTTCTTGCTTGACTAGTTGGACTAGGGTTGGACTAGAAGACCTCCAAAGTCCCTTCCAATGCTGTTATTCTGTATTCCGTACAAAAGACCTCTGACAACGAGACTGGATTAAGAAGGTTTTGTTATCTTGTACCAACAAAAGGCAACAGCACCAACCAGCTGTGAACACTAATCTTGTGAGAGAAATCACATATCAGTAGATTGGCAGGATATAAAGAAAAAACACTTTTCGGATAAATTAGGGCGCCTCTGCAGAAATAAGCAGCTAAAATAATTGCTTTCCTCGTGCCAATGAAAACTCAATCATCCAGGCCAATGATATCTAAAGAAAGGTTAAATCGGGGCAACTGGACCAAAGTTTTAAAAAGTTTTGCTATGACTTTTTAAAAAATTGCCTTCCTCCTTCCAGCACGATTTGTTATCTATTCATGCTGGAAAAACAAGAACCCAGCTGACACTCCGGACAACAGCTGTTTAAATAGTTGTTGTTTTTAAATAAAGGAAGCAGAAAAAAAACATTTACTTTTCTCTTAATCAGTACATTAATCTCATCTTCTGAATTCTCCTGAGCTTCTGCCTCAGCAATATTTTTAATTAGATAAATGTTTAAATAACAATAAGCTAAACAATAAATTATTGTTATGTTTCCCAGGTTGGTGTCCTGAGCTACAAATCCCACTGTCCACACCACAAACGATGGAAACTGTAGTCCAAATCTATATGGGTCGCCTTTGGGCTCCATTTCCCACCCCAAACACCCCTAGGGATCTCGATATCCAAGAAGCCATGAATTCTGCCCATGCTCAGAGGCTCTAATCACTCAAGAGGAGCAGACATTCAAGGGAGGAGGGGAATTCTGGGGATTGGAGCGGGGCTTCCTAACCAGAACGGGCATAAAACGTCTACGATTAATGGGGTAGGTGTCGTCATTTTTCGCCCCATCCTCCTGGGGCTCTGAACTACAACTCCCATCGTATAGGAGGGCGCCCAGTTGGAGAAGAGTCTGCTAGACAGGCGGGGGGGGGGTTACTCTTCCCAAAACCACCATCCCCATCATGCAACGCGGTGGGCTAACCGTCGAAGCTCGTTATGAGGCTTCGCGGGGCACGCTGGGACCCGTAGTCATCCTCACACTCCCACACCGACAAGTCGCTCCGTCCCGCTCAAATTAAGGCCCGGGGCTTCGTCTCCGTCCCCCGCCGCCTCTCGAGTGGGCGTCCACTTACCCGGAGAAGCAGCGCCGCCGCTCCATCCCAGGAACATGACGCCCCGCCCCATCGCTCCGTTCTTGCCGTTGCTCACGAGATCGGCGCTATATAATGACGAGGCGGGCACCCCCCCCCCCCTTTGCCTCTTGCTCGCCGTAGCGGCCATCTTGCGTGAGTTAAAAGGGTGGCCGTTTCTGTGGCAACGAGTCGCGCCTGCGCATGCGTAAAAGCTCCGGAGCCTTTCCAGCTCAACGATCGTATAAACTCCAGGAGGGGTGATGATTAAGAGCGAGGACATATCCAACATAGCGACCACGGTCATGGTCCGCCATATTGGGTGTGGCGAAGCCATTGATACAGCATAAATACGATGGTGACCTCTTCAAGATGGCTGCCGCGTCACGATGGCCGCCATATTGAGCGTGTCAGGCTTCCTCTGCTCCAAAGTTCATGTTAAAGCCGATTTTTTTACTTTCGGAGCCGTTTTTGGAGCCTTTCTGGGCACAGTCCACCCAACTTAACCCGTCTCAAGGTGAAAAATCTGCTTGGAAAATGAGGTCTCAAAGCTATTCTGCATTGCTCCAGCTGCCTGCTTCCTTTTAATTGCATTTCTGGTCATTATGGTTTTATTACTTTATTGCATGTCACTTTGCAGCTGCATTTGGGGGGGTGGGGCTGTTTAAAGGCTGTGAAATCTCCTCTTTATAGCTTTATCTTTGACATTGCATTTCTCTTCCCCGGTCCTTTTGGGCCCTTTCTTCTCCAGATGTGTAGGACTCCAGTACCCATCATGCAGCATGGCCTGGGATGATGGAAATCTGGCATATCTGAATCTATTAGCAAAGTCTGCGTGCCTGTTGGCAATTTATGATTACAATTGAGACAAGAAGTTCCTAAGGGAGGCGTTTGTTAAGTGAGTTATGACCTTTTTTTCCCTGCGGTTGTTAAATGAATCACTTTAGTTGATAAAGGAAACCAGCTTTCCTCACTGGCTTGCCTTGTTAGAAGGTTGTTTATAAGCCACCCAGAGTCACTGAGATTAGAGACAAGGCAGCCAAATAAAGTAGGACCACAATTAAGGCCAACATTTCTGTTGTTAAGTGAGATATTTGTTAAGTTGTGCTCCGTTTTACGACCTTTCCTGCCACAGTTGTTAAGTGAATCGTTGCAGTTGGGAAGTTAGGAACCCAGTTGTTAAGTGAATCTGGCTTCCTTGTTGACTTTAACAGATAACAGATAATCAGAGTTGGAAGGGACCTTGTAGATCATCTAGTCCAACCCCCTGCCCAAGCAGAAGACCCTACAGCATATCTGACAGAGGGCAGTCCAGTCTTTTCTTGAAAGCCTCCAATGATGAAGCTCCCACAACTTCTGAAGGCAACTTCTGTCCCATGGGTTGCTTGTTCTCACTGTCAGAAAATTCCTCCTTATTTCCAGGTTGAATCTCTCCTTGATCAGTTTCCATCCATTCTTCCTTGTCTGGCCTTTGTGGGCTTTGGAAAATAGCTTGACCCCTTCCTCTCTGCTTGTGGGAAGGTCACAAAAGAGGATCCCATGATGTTGGGACACTGCAGTGGCCATTAAATATGAACCAGTTGCCCCAAGCATGTAAATTTTGATCACCTGCCCATGGGGATGATGCAATGGTCGTAAGTGTGAAAAATGGTCCTAAGTTGCATTTTTCAGTGTCGTGACTTTGAACGAGTACCTGTGCAAGATTTGCCTTTCGGGCAGCTGGCCACACTGGCAAGATTTTTATAGACCTTTAAGCCTCTGGTGAAAGACGTGAATAGAAATAGGAATGGAACAGAATAGAATTCTTATTGGCCAATTTCAATTGGACGCACAAAGAATTTGTCTTTGGTGCATAAGCTCTCAGCACGTACACATACAGTAACAAAAGTGATAGGTTGTAGATCATAAATCATAGTTTACAGTAATATAATATACGGTTTTATTTTATTTTTTTGTCTTTTAATGACCCCGTAACCCCTTGCATCGGGGTGGACTCGGGGCAACTGAAGGTAGCTGAGTGTTTACTGGCCAGATGCCCTTCCTGTCACCAATGCGGAGTTCACAGCAGATATATTCTCACTGTACCCAAGAGAGAGAGAAATATCTGCCTCTGCCTAGGATCGAACTCACAGCCTCAGGTAGAAAGAAAAAAATAAAGGAAACATGGCTTTTTATGATTATAGGAAATATCCTATTTGTCTCTTTTGTGAGAATAAGATCTCTCTCATCAGCCATATTGAGACCAGACACTTCCACACTAACACATTCTTGAGCCTGGGAAAATGAGCGGGGGGGGGGGGGAATTTCTTGGAGTGTATGTGGGTAGACATAATAGCATTCTTCTTCTAAGTCAAGGTCATATTATTTCTACACCTGGCTGACAGAACATTTCAAGTTGTGACAGATGGTGGTTGGAGCATGTGATGCCATGATGGGCGCAGGGGGTGGATCGGTAATTTTTTTACTTACTGCAAGGAAACCCAGAACTTTCAGATTCGAGATTTCCAAGGTGTGCCAGTTTACTACTCTAATAAAAAGAACCTTGGAGAGGATGTCTGTCTCGGAGTTATTTGTTGGAGTGGAGGATTTCTGGAACGCTGACAATGTCTTTTCTTGAGAGAATTGTTATGGTTTAAGAAAAACAGACTTAGGTGCAAAATTCCCATGTCTTTTAAATGTTGATTTATTCCAGTGTGTTACCTTTAAGGAAACATTGCATTTTATGAAAGGATACAGGGTTACTCTGACTCCATAGAATTAGAATCGAATCGAATAGAATAGAATAGAATAGAATAGAATAGAATAGAATAGAATAGAATAGAATAGAATAACAGATTTTGAAGGGACCTTGGAGGTCTTCTAGTCCAACCCCCTGCCTAGGCAGGAAACCCTACACCACTTCAGACAAAGGGTTATCCAACCTTTTTTTAAAAAGATCTGTGCAAAGGAGTAGGGGCGGGGTAGATCAGAGGCTTTTTAAACTTCTAACAAATCAATACAGGTCGATTTAGAACAGTTTGTTTAGTGACCGAAGTTACAACAGCATTGGGAAAAAAATGACATGACCATTTTTCACACTTACGACCATTGGAGCATCCCTACAATCCCGTTTGGAGCTTCCAGTTCAAAAGCCTTGCGTGGCATTGAAAACAATAGGGACATTTTAAAAACAGGGATTTTAAAAAGCACCCAGAATTTGTTGGGCTGCAGTCTCTCCCGTTGAACAGGTGCAGGACTAACCTGGCTTCATTTTCCCAGCGGTGGTTTCAGACTCCAGGCTTCAAGGCTCAGGAACTTCGGATGGCGCAGGAGGCACGGAAGTCTTTTGGGCTGCCGACCCCGTGCATCCTTGGCATCGATCTGGGTACCACGTCCGTCAAAGTGGTCCTGGTGGAAAAAACAAGCGAGGGCCCATCCCTGGTGGCCAGCTGCACCAAGCCACTGCAAGCCGATGTGCCCATCAAAGATGCTCAGTTGCGGGTAAGGCGAATAGAGAATAGAGCTGGAAGGGACCTCGGAAGGTCTTCTAGCCCAACCCCCTGTGTCGGGGTTCCAAGTAGTAACTCCATGGGAAGCTGAACTCTGAGGCAGGTAGGTTCCTTAAAGAACAATTTTATTGATTAGATTAGATTAACAGAGTTGGAAGGGACCTTGTAGGTCATCTACTACAGGGATCGCCAACCTTTTGGACCTCAAGGACCACCAAACTCATAATTTTAAACCCCGCGGACCAGAGACCCTGGGAAAATCCCAAATAAAGTCTGCAGAAAAAATTCCCCACCCTGTTTTCCTACCGATCGACCGTTCTTTATTTGGGATTTCAGGATACCGTCTCCAGCTCCATTCTCAGGGGGAGAGAGAGTGAGAAAGAGAGAGACTTTTGGCTTCATGCAAGGAAAGCAGCAGAAGCAGCAGAAGTCTTTCTTTCTCTCCTCCAAACTGCCAGAAATGAGCCTCGTGGAGCAGGAGGCCTTGCAGGGTCCCAAAGACTCATTTCTGGCGGAGTTTGGGGGAGAGAAAGAAAGACTTTGGCTGCTTTCTTTGCGTGCAGCCAAAAGCAGAAGAAGAAAGAAGCAGAAAGAAGCAGCCCGGTGCCCAGGAGAGGCGCGTGGGGTGAGTTCCCCCCCACCCTCCTCCCTTTCCCCCCCCTCACCTCACTCCCTCATGGTCTTCGCAATGCAAGCAACACAAGCCTTGTGTTCCCGTGGGCCGTGTGGGCGGTGCAGCCTTGTATACCTGCGCAGCCTGGATTAATTGCTTTGCGGGGGACATTTCTCTGCGGAGCACCAAAATTTTCTCGCGGGCCACCATTGGACCCTGGCGAACTGGTTGGTGGCCACTGATCTAGTACAACACCCCCTACCCCATCCAAGCAGGAGACCCTACCCCATTTCCAACAAAAGGCAGTCCATCCTCTTCTTGAAAGCCTCCAGTGATGAAGCTCCCACGACTTCCGAAGGCCACTTCCGTCCCATGGGTGGATCGTTCTCACCGTTAGAACATTTCTCCTTATTTCTAGGTTGAATCTCTCACCTTTTGGTCACCCTGGAGAGATCACGTTGGCACAAACTGGTGAAAACCGACCCTGAAAGTTCCTGCGGTTTTCACCTGATGTGGAAAGTGGAAGTTTCCCCCTTTCCCAGGCAATCAGTCCCATGGTCCAATCAAGGTGCTGGCTGGTTGCCTGGTAACCGGACTCCTCCCTCTCACCCGGCTACCTGCTGGAACGTCCTTGGTTCCCACAGGAAACTGTTTTGTTTTGGATAACAAAAACCCCCATTTAACTATGTTTCCCTCCTCTCTCCATCCCATCTTGGCATCGTGGCAATCCTGAAGCTTCAAAAATGACCCAGCCAGGTTCAAAGTTCAAGGTTCAAAGTTGATACCTTGGTCAAACAGGAGACCCCCTACCAGTTCACTCTCTTCCTTAAAATCTCCAGAGACGGAGAAGAAAGAAAGGGAAGGATGGAGGGAAGGAAGGATAGCAGGATAACTGAGTTGGAAGGGACCTCAGAGGTCCTGTAGTCCATCCCCCTGCTCAAGCAGGAGATCTTA